GTTTTGGGGCCATCCCACCCCAAACCATTCCAGAATTCCACGGCTCTCAAGCCCCTCTGCTCTTTGGGGAGCATTTTGGGAACACTTTTGGTGTTTGGAATGCTGTGTCCCTTTTTTGGGAACACTTCTGGTGCCATTTGGGAACACTTTTGGTGCCATTTGGGAATGCTGTGTCCCTTTTTGGGGATGATTTGATGTCTTTTGGGGAATAGTTTTGGTGCTGTTTTGGGAAGGCTTTTGTTGCCTTTTTGGGGATGATTTGGTGTCTTTTGGGGAACACTTTAGGTGCCTTTTTGGGAACATTTCTGGTGCCATTTGTTAACACCTTTTGGTGCCATTTTGGGAATGCTGTGCCCTTTTTGGGGATGATTTGGTGTCTTTTGGGGAATACTTTTGGTGCCTTTTTGGGAATGCTTTTGGTGCCTTTTTGGGAAGGCTTTTGTTGGTGCCTTTTTGGGAAGGCTTTTGTTGCCTTTTTGGGAAGGCTTTTGTTGCCTTTTTGGGAACAATTTTGGTGTCATTATGGGAATACTTTTGTTGCCTTTTTGGGAACACTTCTGGTGCTATTTGTTAACATTTTTTTGGTGCCATTTTGGGAACGCTGTGTCCCTTTTTGGGAACATTTTGGGAACGCCCAAACTCCATCCACGCCTCCCACCACCAATACCACCACCCAAAACAGCAACAGCGAGGGGACAGCCTCCAAATCCCAGACATTTCCCGGGGAATTCAACCCCTGCTGATCCCATGAGCCCCAGGGACCCTTTGGGATGAGGATTTGGGACCCCCAACCCTTTTTCTGACCCCGCTGTGCCCCTCCCAGGCCGCCCGGAGCCGCTGGTGTTCCACATCCCCCAGTCCTTCTTCGAGGCTCTCCAGCAGCGCATCTCCAGCGGCAGCGGCAAGAAGAGGCTCCCCAACTCCACCACGGGTGAGGAAAAGGGGGAAAAACACGGGAAAAATATGGGGAAAACATGGGAAAAACACGGGGAAAAACATGGGAAAACACGGGAAAAACGTGGGGAAAAACATGGGGAGAAACATGGGAAATCCATGGGAAAAACATGGGGAAAACACGGGGAAAACAAGGGGAAAAACACAGGGAAAACACGGGGAAAAACACAGGGAAAACACGGGGAAAAACACGGGAAAAACACGGGAAAAACACGGGAAAAACACGGGGAAAACACGGGGAAAACACGGGGAAAAACATGGGGAAAACACAGGGAAAACACGGGAAAACATGGGAAAACACGGGGAAAAACACGGGGAAAACACGGGGAAAACACAGGGAAAACACGGGAAAACATGGGAAAACACGGGAAAAACGGGGGAAAACTGGGGAAAAACACAGGGAAAACACGGGAAAAATGGGAAAAACATGGGGAAAAACACGGGAAAACACGGGAAAAAACATGGGAAAAACACAGGGGAAAAACATGGGGAAAAACATGGGGAAAACGTGGGGAAAAACACGGGGAAAACATGAGAAAAACATGGGAAAAACATGGGAAAAACATGGGAAAAACACGGGAAAAACACGGGGAAAAACACGGGAAAAACACGGGAAAACACGGGAAAACATGGGAAAACACGAGAAAACACAGGGAAAACATGGGAAAACATGGGAAAAACATGGGAAAAACATGGGAAAAACACAGGGAAAAACACGGGGAAACATGGAGAAAACACGGGGAAAACACGCGAAAAACACAGGAAAAACATGGGGAAAAACATGGGGAAAAACACAGGGAAAACACGGGGAAAAACACGGGAAAAACATGGGGAAACACATGGGGAAAACACGGGAAAAATATGGGGAAAAACATGGGAAAACATGGGGAAAAACATGGGGAAAACATGGGAAAAACATGGGGAAAAACACAGGGAAAACACGGGGAAAAACACAGGGAAAACACGGGGAAAAACACGGGAAAAACATGGGGAAACACATGGGGAAAACACGGGAAAAACATGGGGAAAAACACAGGGAAAAACATGGGAAATCCACAGGATAAACATGGGAAATCCACAGGATAAACATGGGAAATCCACGGGAAAAACACGGGAAAACACAGGGAAAAACATGGGAAATCCACGGGAAAAACATGGGAAAAACACGGGAAAAAACAGGAAAAACATGGGAAAAACACAGGAAAAACATGGGAAAAACATGGGAAAACGGGGAAATGGGTGGAAAAATTGAAGTGTGGGGGAAAAGAGTGGGAAAATAAAGGGAGGAAAGGAGAGGGGGAAAATTAAAGTGTGGGGGAAAGGGGTGGAAAAATAAAGAGGGGAGAAAAGAGGGGTGGGAAAATAAAGGGAGAAAAAAGAGGGATGAGAAGGGGGGAGAAAGGGGGAAGGGTAAAAAATAAAGAGGGGGGGAAAAAGAGGGGGAAGGAGGGAAAAGGGGAAATGAAAAAAATGGGGAAAAGGGGGGGAAAAATAAAGTGGGGAAGGAGGGGGAAAAGAGGCAAAAAGGGAGGGAAAAGGGGCAAAAAGGGAGGGAGAAGAGGGGGAAGGAGAGAAAAAATGAAGAGGGGGAGAAGAGGCAAAAATGGTGGAAGAGGGGCACAAAAGGGGGAAAGGAGGGGAAAAATAAGTAGGGGGGAAAGGGCAAAAATGGGAGGAAAAGGGGAAAGGTGAAGAGGGGGGGAAAAGAGAAAAAAAGGTGGGAAAAGAGGCAAAAAGGGGAGGGAAAAGAAGGGAAAACCAGGAGAAGGAGAGGGAAATTAAAGGGAGTTGATAAAACCAAGAGGGATGATAACAGAGGGGGAAAGAGCAAAGGGGTGAAGCCCCCCGAGCCGACCCCTCCCCGCAGCCTTCGTGCGCAGGGACGCGCTGCCCCTGGGCACCTTCTCCAAGTACACCTGGCACATCACCAACGTCCTGCAGGTGAAGCAGATCTTCGACACGCCCGAGGTGAGGCCGGGCCGGCCCCCCCCGGGACCCCCCCCAGCCCCGGCGGGCCGGCCCTGAGCGCTCCCCGCCCCGCAGGTGCCGCTGGAGATCACCCGCAGCTTCGTGCAGAACCGGGACGGCTCCTACGAGCCCTTCCGCAGCCCGCGGGTGGAGGTGGAGAGCCTGCCCGAGGGGCTGGCAGCCCACGAGAAACAGCCCCCGCTGCGGCCCCTGGAGCTGCAGACCTTCCTCAAAGTCGGTGAGGAACGGGGGGGCGCGGGGGGACCCCAAAACTCACCAGAAGGGACAGGGGGGGAACCCAAAGTATCCCCAGAAGGGGCAGGGGGGAACCCAAAACTCACCAGAAAGGGCAGGGGGAACCCAAAACTCACCAGAAAGGGCAGGGGGAACCCCAAAACTCACCAGAAAGGGCAGGGGGAACCCCAAAACTCACCAGAAAGGGCAGGGGGAACCCCAAAACAGCTCCAAAAAGGGCAGGGTGGGACCCCAAAACAGCCCCAGAAAGTGCAGGGGGGGGACCCCAAAACCCACCCAGGAGGTCCCAGTTCCCCATAGGACTGGGGGACACAAACGCCTCTGGGGGTCCAAGGGGGAACAGGGGGGGGTTCAAGGTTTGGGGGGGCTTCAAGAGATGGGGAAAAAAGGGGTCCCAGAGATGGGGGGGGCTCCAAGGGACAGGTAAAGGGAGAGGGGGGGGGGTTCCAAAGGGATGGGAGGGACCCTGGGGGCTTCAAGGGAGGGGAGAGGGGAGGGTCCCTGGGGTTGGGGGGCTTCAGGGAAGGGGAGAAGGGGGGTCCCCGAGGCGGGGGTCCCGCAGCCACGCCGCCGTGCCCCCCCAGGACACACGTCCCCCACGCAGAAGGAGCCCACGCCCTTCACCATCGAGTGGATCCCCGACATCCTGCCCCGCTCCCGCCTGGGCGAGCTGCGCCTCAACTTCCAGTACGGCCACCACGGGGGGCCCCGGCAGCCCCCCGCCCGCGGGACCCCCCCCAGAGAACCCCCCCTGGGCAACATCGCCTTCCCCTGAGCCCCCCGAAAAGGGGGGACACCCGGGAGCGCCCCCAGAATAAACCAGAACCTCCCCGAGTGAGCTGGGATTGTGTGGGGGGCACCCCGAGACGGGGGAAAGGGGGGAGACCCCCGGAAATTGGGAGAAAAGGGGGAGACCCCCCAGAAATGGGAGGGGAAAGGGGGGAGACCCCCAAAAATGGGGGGGAAAGGGGGGAGACCCCCGGAAATTGGGAGAAAAGGGGGGAGACCCCCCAGAAATGGGAGGGGAAAGGGGGGAGACCCCCAAAAATGGGGGGGAAAGGGGGGAGACCCCCGGAAATTGGGAGAAAAGGGGGGAGACCCCCGAAAATGGGGGACACCCCGGAGCGCCCCCAGAATAAACCAGAACCTCCCCGAGTGAGCTGAGATTGTGTGGGGGGCACCCCGAAACGGGGGAAAGGGGGGAGACCCCCAGAAATGGGAGGGGGAAAAGGGGAGACCCCCAAAAAGGGGGAGACCCCCAAGTGGGAGGGGAAAGGGGGGAGCACTTGGGAGACCCCCAGAAATGGGGGACACCCGGGAGCCCCCCCAGAATGAGGGGTGAAGGGGGAAGGGGGCTGGGAGACCCCCAAAAGGGGAGGTCACCCTGGAGACCCCCCCAGACCTTCCCGGAGCCCCCGGTGGGACCAGGGGGTGCCCAGAAAAGACCCCCAGGAGTCCCCAGTGTTCCCAGTATCGCCCCAGTATCCCCAGTATCCCCCCAGTATCCCCAGTATCCCCAGTATCCCCCCAGTATCCCCAGTATCCCCCCAGTATCCCCAGTATCCCCAGTATCCCC